TTAGGGTAGGAAGACAACTTTTCAGGCTGTTAATCCTGTTTTCTGTCTTTTTCACAGCTACCCTGCACACAGGTAGGTTTTTAAATATCCCAGACACTTGAAATTCTGGCAAGTGAGGTTTGGTCTGTCTACCAACACTACCTGCCTTGCCATCAGTCTTCTCTTCCAGAGACATTCCTGTTAACTTCTGAAGTTCCTTGTCTCACACTTTTTGCTGCCATTTCTCCCACTCAGCACAGCAAGGATGAAACTTTCAAAACAAGCTCTGTGTGTATTACCCTGTAAGTAAATACCACCAGCTGAAGCCACTATCCTCTACCCTTTTCTGAATTAACCTCCTGTAATCACACAGCAAATTGTACAGCTACAGAGGTTAGCAGGTGATTTTTCATAAAATATTTACTGGTATCTTCAGATTCTTCACAGAAAAGTCTGCCCACTCTATATAAAATTAAACACTCTGAGAGAGAGTATCCAAAGAAAGGCTTCTGATTAAGTTAATGCAAACAATTAATTGTCAAATGCAGGTACAATTACCTGACAACACTAAAAAAAATTAAAACTGTGTTTTTTTAACAAAAAGCATGTAGGCTCTTTCCCTTCCCCATTTCTAGCTATAATCAAGGTAAAGTTTTGATTTTGGCTGGAAAATACATTTGTCAGTGCTGAATTATAATTGCAGTTTCATTGACTACAAGCTTAGTATTTATGCTTTTCATTTTAAAGTTAAACATGACTTCACATTAAAAAGTGCTAGAAGCAGTAAGATTTTATCTTTTAAAAATGTTGGTAGTAAAGGCACAGCAAAAGTAATGAAATCTAGTACTTAATTAAAGAGAACATAATTTTTACATGAGAAAAAATAGTGCATTTAGACAGCCTCTTCTTTCCTCTGTTATCAGCTTTAGACTTAATAATCGTAAAGAAAATTTTTAGCTTTTTTTTTACTATTATTTTTGACAGCATTACACTGAACGCTACAAAAATGAGAAAGAGAAGAGCAATATGTGCATTTCTAACTCAATTTTATGCTGCCAGCATTTTAATAGGCTCCCTTCCCATACCCTTTCCTCAGCTATTGATTAAGCCTCTCTGCTGCAGAGAATTAGTAAATAAGAAGTCAGAATTGATTTTTTCTTGTTTTCATAACCAGAGGAAAAAGGAGAAAACAACTCTTCCCAATTAGTCTGCACTGGCTCGTGCTGGAAATAGCAATGTTTTATTTCTCATCACATGGAGAGCTTGCACCTCAAGGATTCTGTAATGGAAATCACTTCAGCAATTAGCACTATTCATCTCACTGTCAGAGGTGGTGTTGACTATTAGTAATAAATTATGTCTCTTACAAGCTTGGGCTTTTATGTGCTCCCTTTAAACCTAGTGTGCAACAACTTTTACCAAATTAGATCTGGTATCCAGACAGTTTAGAAAGCAAGAAAGAAGCAGGATGTTTGTTTCCCTCGACCCAAAGAATGAGAGCCATCAGGAAAGTCTGCATCTTCAGCAGAGCAATTAATGCAAAAAGGAAAATCCACCCTAAGGGAAAACTGTGGTGGACGTGGGTAACCACGGAATCAGAACAGGTCAGGTCCACACACAGAAAGGAAAGCCATTTTGCACAGGTCAAAGTTATTCCAATAGCTTTTTAAAAAGAAAAATGAAGCTAAAAAATCCTCTATTTCATTTAAACAAATGACTGACTATTCGGATCCTACAAGCACCATCTTTGTGCTGTAGCACTGGTCTGCTAACCCACAGAATATCTAACAAACTGAACTCCAAACCACAGGAACTGAGGCACAGGCACATTGAGGTTATTGAGCAAACACCTGGGTCGTAAAAAAGTGCATGAATCATTGAATAATCCATTTCAACATTTACTTGAGGTGTAATGGATCTTAGTACAGACGTAGTGGTAGAAATGGTGCAGTTTCCTCCCCCAGACCATGCGGCAAAGAGCCCACCTGCAAAGTCATAACCACTGGCCACCAGCTTGCTTTAATGCAACACCCAGCTTGTGGTGGATGAAATAAAACAATCAGTTTGAAACCTAATACAAATTGTAACTTCCCAGCAGAAGCGTTTTTTTTTCAATAAGCAGTTTTGTGGTTTTTTAAATAGCCCACTGGGAGTCTCCTGTCACTGAAGACAGGACGTTTGAGTTTCCTTTTCACAGAACAAGGACATAAATGCTCTGACTTCAAAATTGTTCGAATTTAATTTTTGCTAGATTCAGTGAAAGGTGAGTACTCCCTCTGACCTAGACAGTGTGGGGAGTGATCTAGCTCCCATGAATTTTGGTGAAGAGTATGTCTGGTATAAAGCAAACACAACTGGGAAAACTAAGAAAAAAAAACCACAAAACCCCCAAAAAACAACTGAACAACAACTGAGCAACAGAAGAAAAAAAATAACAACAAAACCAAAAGTGGTCTTGCATTTTTGCAACACCAGTGACAAATGTTTACAACACCAGTGTGTTTGAAAACACTGGTTTACACACAAAATAGATAAAACATGCAGCTGCATTGACCCAGGTATTTCATGAGATCTTAACTTCATCTTTAGGGTGTAAAGGGGGAGAAGTATTTGAAGTAGAGACTCTGAATTTGGCCAAAGTAATTGTTTGCAAGTACATGAATACCACAATACTGTAACAGAGAAGATCAGTTACCTCTCTTTTCACAGCTACTACACGTGTCCAAGGAACTATGTGCAAGCAATGCAGTTTATGAACACAAACAATGCCATAGTGGTCTGCACTGCTACTTCTTACCTTCAAGCTACACGTGTTACAGAAAAGGTAGGCTTCAAGCACATAAATTTTTAAAAGTAAAATATACTGTCAAAATCTGTAAAATCAGATTCATGTACTAGAAGTGCCATTGTAAAGACTCTACAGAGCTAAAAAAGTAGGTTTAGGAAATCTTATAATGATATCTCTTAAAAAATTTTAATATTCTGTTTTTTCTCAGCTCTCAGGAGTGTAAGACAAACTTGCTGAAGAAGAAGGATCTGAAATGGGGCACTTTATTATGTAATAGCATTAAGCACCTATTTCTAGACATTTTTTAAATCTGCAAATGACGTCTTATTTAATATTGATCATCCTGCACCTCAGAGAACAGCAATTTTTTTTTAAGGAATTCTTTGTAAATAAAAGATTTTTTAATTTGTTTTCCTGACAAAGACCAGCAGACCAAAGATTTGGAACTCTGGAATAGCCCCAACAAGGCAAAGGAGCTCCTGTGGTTTAACTGAGATACTTCTGTATATAAATCACGCACACAACAGTGTGTGTAAGATGTTGTACATGCATTACATCTCTAGGTAAAATTAGTACTTCAGCTGAGATAAATGTAGAAAAATGCAATATTTAAATTTATACATTCACTATTTGCCAAATCTTTTGATTCGCTCCTTTGCAAAAGTGGCAACTACTGAATGAAATGTTATCAAATGAACGTAACAAAGGAGAACACGGATAAATAATTCACTTGAACAGCTCTGAAGAATTCCCAACTATCATGTTGTGCCATTCATTCAGGCTTATTGAAGCTCACAGTTCTGTCAGTTTGAAATGTGAAGTATGAGAAAGTTCTTAATAAACTAGTTTTACAAACTGTCATCCAAGACATGCAGCACATCAGGAGTTAATGCATCGCTTTTATGATGCGAAACAGCTCCGCCCTCTACCATCCTCACAGCTCTTCATTAACTCTTCTCATTAACTCTTCAGAAGTTTAAGCATCTTAGATATTTCAGGAAAAGTTATGCGAACCATATGAGAATAAAAATACTACATCACTTCAACAAGTATCTTTGCTTCACAGATTTCAAAAAGGAAACAGAGACTAAGTACTGTCCTGCATCACAGAAGCAGCCTGTGTGAAAAACCCCATCAGTAACCCAAGAACTATGAACTCTGCTCTCTTTTTATTAAAGGTTAAAAATACTCTGCAAATAATTGTCATTGAGCACTAAATACAACACTGTTTATTAATAACTTTCTATTTAAATTTGCGTAACAATATGCTGGAAAAATAAATCACTTTACAAAATAAGTGAAATCACCCCACATAGCCATTTTATTTTTCTCATTTTAACGCCTTTACATGATAATATCTCAAAAAAACCCAGATCTACCACACTAGCTCAAGACTTTGAGAGATTTTAATTCTATTTTGAATTATGCAAATAATAAGAAGGCTTAAAACTTGAAAGCAGCATGGCAGCATTAGCTAAGAGTGGCCAGAAACTGCTGAGAAACTATATACATTTTCTTTATCTTTTTGGAGACACATACAGGAAAAAGGTAAAAATGGATTGTATTCCACTACAGTCAAACGCCCAGTCTTTTCCTTGTGGAAAAGAGTATATACTGTGCTTTTTTTATTACTCACATGACTCCTAAGAGGAGAAAAGCCAGATACTGAATTTGCCTGAAGAGGCATCTGAATAGCTGTGTAGAGACCGAGAATGATTCCTTAAGCACTCCACTCTTGGAAAGCCTGGCTACCGTTGCCATCAGTGCCTGTCCAGCAACCAGGGAAATTTGTCTTTGAGAAGCATCACTGTGAAAACTTCCACCCACAAACACTCTAATCAGTAAGAGGAGTTAGTAATAGGAAAATGAAAGTTACCCTTTGGCATGAATTCTTTGTTAACATTAACAAGTAAGGTTTAAGGAAATTGTTTACACCTGAGAAATTAAAGGTTTTAAGAAAAGAATCAGGACATGTTTGCCACTTATATGAAGTTACTAGATGACTTCAAGATAGCCTAAAATGCTGTAACAAAGTTGAGAGGTTTAATGATTACATTAAAAGCTCAACTCTTTCATGATTTTGATTTGATGAAACACAAAACAATGTAATTAAAACACAATTAGAAGGAGAATAAATCCCGTGGCACAAGTTTCCGGTCCTAGATGGCACGTTTGGTAAAACATCACAATCCTTCCAAAAAAAAAAGGCAGAAGACCACATGCTAAAAGTTACCTTACTTGATCTTTTCCAACTCTTCCTCATTAGCATTGTCTGAAAATAAAATAGAGCATTATAATTACCTTTTCTCTGCAATACAGAAAAGGAGGCCAACTGTCTCCAACGGGACAATCCACATTTAACCACCACTACAACTGAAGCAGCAACACGTACACTCCAGCTACAACTACATGAGGCTGAATTAATTCCAGACAACTAGCAGCCCTGTTCACACCTAGGCATACTTTTCTGGGTGGTAGGAATGTCTCATTTCCAGAGACAATGCATTATGTGAAATCATTTAAAAGAAAGAAAGAAAGAAAGAAAAAAGAAAGAAAGAAGAAAAAGAAAGAAAGAAAAAGAAAGAAAGAAAAAGAATTAGATAAGCAAATGAAAAAATGCACGTGCCATTACTGATAGTGACTTCGATTTTGACTGATACTGGAATTACAATTTTTTTAATATTAATGTACTCCAATTTTTTGGAACACTACTGTTTAGCTCACAGGTGTAGCCGTGTAAGAGAAATCCTGGGTAAGGGTCCTTGGACAACACGCATCTCTTACAAAATCCTTAGGGTTACCACTGCCAATTAGTTTCACAGCAGTAAAGATAGCTCTTTGGTTTGATCATTATGCACATGGGGTGGAAAAAAAATTCATACTTTGACTCTAAAAAATCCAAAATGTAGTAGCCCTGTCCCATTACTTAAATAATCTGTAAAACCTTGGCACTGCTAGAGATAATGCACTGACATGCCAGGCAGCAAAGTGTCCACAGACACAGGTTCTAAATCATTAAATAAAAGAGACATACTGGTCAAGACAGATGTGGACAATTTATCTGTGAACACAACTGTTGCTTAAAGCACTTCTGTGGAAACATAGAGAAATTAATTTATACAATTTAATAACATTTAGCAGCCTGTCGTTGACCCAAGCAAAAATAAATCAAAGGCCATTAATTTCTATTGAAACTTTGTCATGAAAAACAAACATAATTTTTATTTTTTATGAACTCTTGCAAAAACACTATCTTTTTCAGATAATGGAAACAAGTTTTGAAATGCAAACATCTTCCGTGCTAAGAAATAAAAGTATTACATGGGGAAAAAATGAAAATGGGAGGAAATATGTGGGGTTTGTATTTTTGAAAGACCCAGAAATTCTTCAAATAGATACAATTTTGGGGGAGAAGAAAAACAACTAGCTGCTGAGGCAAATTTTTAAGCTGCTATGGACAGTGAAAGCCTAAACGCTCTGCTATAAGTTAATGATAACCATAGCGCTGTGGCTCTGGAAAATACACATAGATACTAAATGTTTTATAAAGCTGGAGAAAGCCATTTAACTCATCTTTACAGGAGAGGCACATAAGAATTAAGCAGCTTGAGGCCCACAGCAGGCCCTGGAGAAAACCTGCGAGTTGCTGGGTCCTGGCCAGCACAGCACAGCTCCTCCCTTCCCCATCATTGCCAAATCCTGCACAGCTACAAGTCAGAGCACAAGCTCAGCTTCACTCGGCTTCGTTGGGACCAGGCTGTGAGCAAGGAGGAGAACACAGCCTGACAGATGAATTAACTACATATCAAATCTTATTTCAACTCTGAGGGGTTCACTTTGAGTAGTAGCTACAGAAAGGTATGACCAAATTTGTTGAGAGTATCAGCGTCATGACCAGCTGCAGCAGGATAAGCTGAAGCCATCATAAACATCCTTAGAAGCCAATAAAAACAAATGCATAGCATCGGGCAGATTAGGATGGATGATCTACATGGAACTTCCTCATCTGAAAATATTTCATGCCCTGAGCCCATCTCTGTCATTCTTTTTTTCTATGGCGGTATTATCCCTCTGGCAAATAAATAAAACGTAATATTGCATTATAAGATTTAAGACAGCAAGCAAACTGACAGCATATTAATGTTGTTAATATTTTCATACAAAGCAAAAAAACCACTAAGCATCATTTGGGATAAATTATTTAAGAAAAAAACAATGCTGTGAATTTCATTCTCATTAAATAACAACATCCAAGAAGCACTCGTATGTTTCCTTTTTTCCATTCTCTATGCTACTCAGGCCATTGGCAGCAGTGGAACAGTAGTCCCCAATCTCTGCTGGCCCCAAAGCAACAATTCTCATCAAGCCACCAACTTTTTCGTTTCCTGTAGCTGAGAGTTGCCTTAAGAGCAAGGCAGGAAACAACTGTTGTAGAGAAGACATGGGAGACAAGCAGTTGTGATGAACTCAGAGTCACTCTGCAAGTTCTCCACTGACAAAATCTGCGCGCTGAACTCTGCTGGGGAGAGAGCCAGAAAAACTCACATGCGCTGTGGCACCCACAATTACAACACCAAACACAGAACCTGCAGACACCATGTACACATTTTTACTTGGCACGCATGCAACTTTACATGGCACACAGGCATGCACAGCACTACGTGTATCCAAAGATTAAGAGAAATATTAATAGAATACTGTCAGAATTAAAGAAACAAAACTTCATTGGAGCAGGTCTAAGAAAAAATCAAGTCGTTGCCAGTTCTGACTTCCTCTAAACTGGTCATCAAAAGGAGATATTAATGAAAAATACAGAAAGTATATCATACACACATTATTTTTAAAAGGAGAGTTAAAAATAATAAAAATTTTTTAGAGCTCACAGGTTTTAACATTTTTATATATACATACTTTGCTCAAACTTATTTATTTCATGTCTTCTTAGTTAACACTAGTTATATAAGATATCGGTCCTCTCAAAACAAAATAATTAATGCTGCATTAATGTAAAGGACAAGTATTATTAACAGCACAGAACAAATGCAAACGAATTATTGGAACTAGTGCTACTGCAACTTAATTGTGTTAGGCTGGAAATAGATTATACTTTTCAGGAATACTAAAGACATTCTTATGTCTACAGTTGTATAAGAATAATTCATTCATCAATTTTGATTCACAATCTATGATTGTTCAAAAATCAGAATAAATCAGATTGCCTTCATTTGTCAGAACTCAAAAAAATAGGACTTCTATACATAGTTTGAATGAGATATTATAAGATTATTAGTTTAAAATTTCACATTTTCATGCCTTTAGAACAAGCACTAGGTCGCAAAAGGCAAAGATATTTACATATAAGATTTGCTAGAAATTTTTATTTGTTCACCTGCCTATACTCTTACATTAATACTCAACGATAACTGCAAGCTACTTCTGCATTTTCTTCCAGTAAAACAAAAATCAGATAGTGTGTTCTTATTTATGAAACTGGTATACTGAATCTCCTTCAATTGAAACCATGTCCAGTATTCTTCTACTGGAAAAACACAAATTGTAAACTACTTAAGCACTGTTTTTCACAATCCACCAGGACTCAAAGATAAATACTCCCCTCTCCTAGTCTGTAATATAATTTTACATACAGTTGTATGAACATATGCATATATTAATATTCTTAATTGATATCTGAATCCAAAGATGTAATCTGTTTTGATCTCAGGATCTCTCTTTCCAGCTACAAATTCTAAAGAACATCTCATCGGTCAGCACACAGAAAATCTGCATTTCACCAGAATTTCTTTCAGGAAGATAAAGAAGAGAATGCTCCTGTGTGTACCAAATCTCTCTCTCATCTCTTTGCACACCTCAAGGCTTCACAAAAGATAGTTCCACCCAAAATAAAATAAACTATTTCTCTGTCAAACCAACTGCTTATTTTTTAAATCACTTGTAATAATACCTCTCTCACAGACAGGTGGCAATATACAACAAGGCCCCCAGTTTAGTATCACTTCACTTGAAACTTCCAGCTGGAGTATCTTATCCTCCAGCATATTCTTATATTCAATATTTCTTATGCAGTGTGACAGAATCCATGTTCATGTAATACACAGCCACATTATTTTGATATGCAAATAAAATGCTCTGCTCCAAGACCTGTCCTCTAGCTATACAAACGCATCGTCAAAAGCCTTTATCTGCACACCAGTGCATGACCTCCAAAACACTCTCAGTTGCTCCCGTTCAGGCAGTGAAGGGATCTCCTTGGAAAGTCTAATCTGCATCCAAAAGTCACCAAACAACACATGACAAACAGCAAGTCTTGTTCAACAGGGCTGGGTTTGGATTATGGCTAGAGAGCTGCCCAAAATACAGGATAAGACACATGCTGCTTTTATGGCTACATGGGAAACCTACTGCTTCTTTTGTTCAAGCTATTCCTTTTTTTTATTTCCCCAATGATCTTAATAAATACTCTCATTTTAAATATATGGAATTAAAGTACCTGAAATTTAAGTACTAGTAGTTAATTTCTGAATTCTTCAGCCTTATGATTTAACCATTTTACACCATTTACATGTGACAACATGTGCAAGCAATTTAGAGTTATCAGCTGAACAAATTAAGACTTATTTGGAAGAGAGTATATTTTTGAAATGTAGGCTACATAGAGATATCAAACCAACAGTATTTAAATAAATTTGGAATGACTTAGGAGAAAAATGGACGTGATGTGAAGAGACAGTGTTTCTGTGTCTTCTATGCAGCAGTCATTAAAGCATATTTAAAGGTGCTCACAGGTTTTTATCTATATAATTCAACTATGCTATTTGAATTATTACCTATATAGAGATATCCAGGTAGAAGGGAAGCAGTGATCATTCAAACAGCATGCTACACAGATTGGAAATGTATGAGTTGCTTTAATTACTACTTTATACAGGGCACATTTCCAGAGCAGACAAGAATTAGCCTTGATCCTCTAACATAACATTCAAAAAATATATTGATCTCAACACTACTAAATTCAATAAAAATTACCCTCATTATTACAAGACCTTTTAAAAATAACCAAGGATGACAGTTTAATTGGAGTGATACATTTGGTAATATATCTACTCCTTAGAGAGTAAATAAAAACTAATAAATAAATAAGTACATGTGGTAACTGAATAAAAGATAATTGTGGCTTGAATTATTAAACCCCTAACACATTCATATACAGCAATTCAATATTAATTTTGTAGGCCATCTTCCCTGCATTGTGACACAAATTCTCTGATTTTACTGCAACTTTGCCAGAACCGGTCTGAGATCCATATCTTGGCAAGACTGGTTTTTAATAAAAAATACAAAGCTTCAGATTAGGACTCAGAATGTTAATCTGAATCCTGGGCATTTTCAGAATGAAGTCACATATAACAGTTCGAATGGAAAGAAAAACTGGTCACTAGAGCTAAAACTAAACTTATTTAGTTTATCTATCACTTATTATTAAGTGAGTTATTGGTCACTTGAGCTAAACTAAAAGGATTAGCTTACTAAACAGAAAGCTAATAATGAAATGCATAACAGCACAAACCCAATTCTTCCTCCTGTTACAACCAGTCAGTTGGGTATGACAAAAGTTGCTATGCAGGAAGTCTATGCTGCTCCCATTACTTTTGATGTTCAGTTGTGAATTCACCAAGTAAATACCGATATGAAGGACATGTTACACTGTAGTGTCTTAATTTCACTTTCTCACGTGTGATTTTCTTGAGTGCTCTTGTATAATAGCTGAAAAACCCTGAGTGGCACAGTAGCTATCCTATCTGTATGATGAAAAAAGGAAACTAACATGCTGTCCACATAATGGTTTCCCACATAAAAATATAGTATTTCTGTGCTGCATGATTTAGGATTATGTCAGGATAATGCCAAAGCCACTTGGAAAAACAGGGCTATTACCAGCTAACTCAGAAATGCTGGTCTTACCCAAATACACACACACAAAAAAAAAATCCGGAATAAAATACATTTTTCAATTTAAGTGATAAACACTTGTGGTGCAAATTTGCAAGATAGTATTCTGAGTTGTCTGGACAAATGTATTGCTATAAGAAAGAAAAATACACTGTTTAAATAAAATTTCTGCACATTACTACCATACCCCATTATTTTTGTTAAAGTTCTAAGAGAATGTCATGAGGAAAATTAACAGATGAGAAACTTGTTTTCAAAAATCTACATCTCTGTCATACCAAATACCAAACACTTAGTTCCAATAACTGACTTACTAGCCTATTTAATAATAGCTAGGATAAAAGTGGAAAATGAACAATATTACAGCCTGCCAGTAATCCTCAGGTATGCAACGGGACAATGTGTCACACTGCAGCACACAGAAACATGTATGCTCTTGCAAAAACCATATAGTTGACCACATCCATGGAAAATTTCATCAGATAAATACTTTTTCCTTGACCCCTCTGAAGCCAAAGGAATCCACATTATTCTACAACCTCTGAGATGTTCTCTCTTGTATTTCTGCCACAGTTGTCCTACTACTGCTCAAGTCAAACGTCAACTGACAAAAAGCTATTAAAATACATCCAACTAGAAGCAGAATTTGTCACAACTAACAGGATCTAAAAAACTGGAAACTATTTTCACTTACAATTAAGCAGCTCAGAAAACTAAGATTGATGAAGGAATTACAATGAACCTAGGAAACCACACAATTTTGTAATTTAAATCTAGTCATGAAATTGAAAAACATCAAATAATACTTCATCATTAGATGCTAAAAAGCAGAAATACTACCTTTCTTCAAGTTTCTTTATTTTCAGTGTGGAATAGGATTCACATATCTAGAGATGGCAGCACTAGGTCCAAAATTCTTCACCAGCAGTTTACTGATATTTTTCCATATTAATCAGCACCATTCACCTGCAACTGACTTTATCTGAAATTGCTGAACATTTATGTTCCATTTGGATCCCTCAGTACTATCTGAGGGAGGATCCAATTCAGATGAAGTACGCTGTACTATACCAGAAACACTGTTCAGCGTTATTTTAAGAATTGGAAAAATCAAATTAATCTCAGAATATGTGGTTTAGTCTTGTGCTTTAAGTTATCCAGCCATAGAACAATTGCAAGAGTGATGACACATATCAAAATATTTAAAATTACCACTTCTCGCTGTTCTTCTCTAGGAGCCAACAGAACTGATAGCAATATACTTCCCAGATCATGGTCAGGGTAACGAGGATCCTTCAGACTCAAGGTAACATCTGTTTGTCTAGGAGATAAAAATATAAGTGTTTATTTTGATTTCGGGCTCTCAGAAAATGAAATTTCTGAATAATGAGAATTAAACGCATCTGCATTTATATGAAACTACTTGAAAATGGTGTCACAAAAATACCCTGTTTTTTGTTTTTAAGTATTGCAGTCTAAACACTCATAAATAAATACTAAATACTGTTACTCTGTGTTAAGTACTTATACATACAAAATTACTGAAGTAATTAAATCTGTACTGTACCATTAATGGATAAAAAACAGAAAGAAAACCCTTAAACAGTAGGTGGTAATGCTGTGAATAAAACCAAGATTAAAGTGGTTATAAAACTAACCTCTCCGTAGACACTGCAAAAAATGTTGTGCATGATCAGTTAATATATTATTAACATGCATATTACAGTAATTCCCTAAACATAAGTGTTCTTCCTTGGCTATTTTTACATGGTGTAAGCTTATATAATTATTTTCCAGCATAATGTTCTATTTGCAATTCCACAAACATGGTATTAGCAGATAAACATAAAGAATTACTCCATAGGCTTGTTTGTGCCATACTTGTTTAATTCCAATGAAGTGAGATCCAAAAATGCCGAACCAATAAAGTCATCCTGAAGTCCAAAGTCATAGTCAAAGACCTAAGATGCACAGGAGATAAAAGCATTTTCCAGTATTAGACATCTTTTTTTTGGTATTTTCTAGCTTTATGAATGGTTCTTTAAAGTCCTTTTCCAGAGTTATAGCTTCATGTTTCTTACATGCTAAACCAGGACTATCTGAAAGTAACCTGAAAACTTTCTGGCAACAAAATCAAGTTTGAAACTGCTTAAGTGAAAGTCAGAATGCATCATGTACAGACATGGGGGTATACTACTACTAGACTGCATATGTGAACAACATCAATATTATGAAAACAAAAGAAGCGTTTTTATAAACATAGGCACTAAAAGAAGGAAGACCAAAAGAATAACTAAAGTTAAACAGAATCATTGGCTTGCTATACATTGATGCCTTTATCAATTTTGCAAAATACAGGTAGGAGGGTGGGATATGGTTGTGAAAAGTGGGTTATTACAGCACTTGCATCAGTATCAGGAAAAATAAAATACACATTTTGAAGGTTGTATAAGTTTCTGGGGTTTAGAAATATTATAATATAAGATAAAAACTTAATGGATATGCGTAAGAAAATAGTGATATTTATTATTCTACTATGAGGACCCTGCCTACTAAATTGCTACCTAAAAAAGAAAGCATCTGGACAAATTTACTGACATCCAGACAGGAATCTGTGGCCAGTACGTGGAATGGTATCAATGATTTGAGATGGATTATGCATTGCCAAATCAGAAGAAAGAATAATAAATAAACTGGGCACAGCTTTGGAGGGAAATAAACAAAAATGGAGGGTAGCAACAAAGAAAAGTTGTGACACGAAATCACAAAGAAAATGGGAAAATGCCAATTATCAAAATCAACTTTCTAAGTAAGTTAAATTTTCTTGGCAAATATAGTCACAAGAATTTCTGAGGACCAGAATATACCTTCAGCTCCAAGTAAGAGTGAGACTTGTGAACAGCTAGTAATGAGAACATGTAACTCAGTTGTGACAGGCCTAGGTCCAAGGTATTCAACTTTGATGTAAATACTTCAACTATGGTGTTACAGAAACTCTTTTCCACGAGGCAGTTAAAGCTGTTCATCTTCTACAAATACCTTAATATGGACTGGGTTAAGGCAGTAGTAACAGAAATCCCATGACCCAAAGTCTACAGCACTGCTGCGGGACTCCAAGGGTTGAATGTGAGTATTTGAGCACAAGTCTCTCATATGCATTGATCTACCCGAGTGTGTACCCTCATGTTTTCTCTAATATTCATTCTAACGGGGAAAGACAACAAATGATGAAATTTCAGTTCATGTTGCAAAGTAGAATTGTTTTCTCCCCCTACAAATTATGAAGATGAAAACATAAATATTTTCAGCTTGGTACAATTTAATCATGTCTTAGAATATCTGAATAAGCCATAAAAACCTGAAATATTTCACACAATCTGTTCAGAGTACAAACATGGATGGATATTGTACCACTTGACACACTCCTGCCAGGAAAAAAAATTAAAAAATACACACACCTATTCCCTTGTGACCCTACTGCAGGGTCGGTATTTGACATAAATAAACCAAAACAGGTAGCTATGTTGTAAGTGTCCTTCTTTGAATCTGCCTCTCTCTTTCACAGTGCTGGGCACATGTTTGTTCCATATGAGTCACTAAGCTTAAGAAGGGCAGGAAAATGCCAATTGAGAATTATAATTAACTTTACACTTCTCTAATAACTATGTACTTTATCTGAGCAGAATAATGAAACATTGTACAGATTGATACTCGAAGCACTTTAAGTGGCATTCATCTACTAAAAAAATCTACAATTTGATATTTCAGTTAAAATTTTTGTTCTGTAATTGACATTAAGACTCGATACTGATCTGAAGCATCATATCATTTCAGACCAATTAAAAGGATTACGTAGGTAAGACTTAAGTTTCCATACTTTCTCAAAGTATTTTTGACCCAAATATGTTCTAATTAGAACCCTAAGTCTACATTTTTTTTATATCATTTTAGAACTTAATTTTTATCTAGTTTGTTTTACACAATTAAGGATCACTTTTGGATATAGATCACCATAAACTATTGGGGCCAGAAAAGCACCTTTCTGTTCTGTGCCTATAAAACAATGATCACACCTTTTCTAGTTTCCGTTCCAATATGGACAGCTAAGAAGTACTCGTGGCACTCCTGGCCTGTCTTGGATTTAAACTCAGGCTGTTTTTTCAGAATAAGTGATGCCTCTATTACGACAAAATCATCCTCACCTGTGACATACTGAGGGGAGTTACAATGTAAAAAAAAAAAAAGCATAAAGCATTACAAAACATATAAGCAAACCCACTGTGTTCAGGTACAAATAGGAAAAAAACCCCAAAACCTAGGGGAAATGGGCACACATCTTGATAAATTCTCAAATTAACCTCAGCAAAGAATTGCTTTTAATGGGATAGATTATGCTTCATATCAGAATTATGCAATGATATTTCCATAATTAAAAGGGATGCCATTATCATGAAACACAGTTTACTTTCTCTGTCCTCCTAAAATCACACGAAAGAAGTACAAAACAGTTATGGCCTGAAATAAACTAAAATGCCTGTATTTACCTTTTTTTTTTTTGAAATTTTGACATCATCATTCTACAGATATAATTTAAATAATTTTCATCTCTAAATAGTCTTTAGTAATGCACTATTGCACAATAAATTTTTCAGTATACAGAAATTAAAAAATCTAAATTCTTTCAATAACTTCTCTGTTGTAACTTAACAGACATAAGTAAGATAGTGTCTCACCTTTAGGTACAATGGTTCTCTCAGGTTATCTATAAGAATGCAAGCTTTTTCCTCCCACACAGGATTGAGGTTCTTGTGTATTGTTTTACTTCTAAATACTTCTTTTCCTCCAAGTTTGAACTTGACGTATGGATCACTAGTTCCTGTTAAAGACACATATATACTTTTAATTATGTCCTTTTAATACAATAAGGGAATGGAGACTAAATTACCTTCAACATAACTAAACGTAATTTCTACTGATAGTCAAATTAAAAACAGCAGCTGAAGAAAGAATTTCTTATTGTCACAATTTTGTTATTTTCCACAGTGTCACTACTCAGTTAATTCACTGTGTTAACATCAAATGGGTGCTTGCATCACTTCCTGTTGTTTGCAGTCCATACTCGGTCACACATGAAATACTGGCTATTGCAGTGTAGTCTTTAGTTAACAGAATTATGTCCTTATTAGGAGTAGGATTTTATCTTAATGCAATCACAAAAATTAGATTACAAGTGAAAATTGTTTCTTTAAAATATTAATCTAATTATCTTATACCTTTGAAAAGGCACAGGCTCCACTGACACCACTAGTGTAACTCTGCATTGACTTTATTGTGTCCAGGCTTCCCTCTTCCATGAAGGTACACTTCCTACAACACTCATGATGAGCAAATCAACTCTTAAGTCAGTCCACAAAGTTCACACGCTTCCTGCAGCAATCACCTACCTGCAGGACAGCACAGGTCTAAGCCCCATGATACAACTGAATAACAATTAACTATGACCAGAAAGACAACCCTGAAGGGAATTGAAAGAGAAATGTTAAATACGGCAAGAACGGCGAATGGATGGAACGTGGGTGTGGAAGTGTCAGAAGGAACAACTGGTGGAAGGAGGACTCTTGGGGTGGCACGTGCTGGGGTCAGAGAGATCAGCAGGCATCCAGGAGCACATCCGTGTCTTCTCCTCAAGACACCCATGTGGAGAGACAAAGGACAGCAAGCAAAAACCTGACGGCGCGCACAGAGGCGTTACGAGATGGAGAGATAAATCATTGCCAGCTACCAGAGGGTACTAAAGGGCACATCCAAAACCAGCACATACACGGTCACGCAAATAGCAGGAGCCCCCGAGGCATGAGGAGGACCCGTCGGCTGACATCCTTCCCCTCCCCGTCATGCATAACCCGGACAACACACCTGCGCTTGTGAATGAGCGTGCGGGTGTCAGAGTGTGAAAGCAAATGACCAAAATCGGCTTTGATTCAACATAAAATCACTTTCCCCTGCCACAAGGTTTCACACTGAGATTTGCTACATTGCCGTCACCACACTGCGATGCTATTTCACCCAATCTGACCTCAACTCCGGATGCACTGACTAGAGTTGACGTGTGGGAAAGAGAGTGAACCTGGGGGAAGGACAGGGGCAGAAGGGGACAAATGCCTCTTCCACTTGTGTCCAGCAGTCCCACCATGGAGACCAACGGTCGAGCAGCAGGACACTGCCCTTTGACAAACACTGAAGTTGTGCCTGCAACGGTCCTCATGAAACCGCTGCCTCCGTCATGAACTGAAGAAAGACCACCCATCTTTCCTGCACATTTTGATTACAAAAAATACAGTTAAGTCTTTAAACAAAAGAAAAAAGCTAGATAGAACATTCAAATACCTTCCCTAAAATGCCGGTTCGTAAGATTTCATTGTTATGTAAGTGAAATTCATTTTAATGAAAAATATTGGATGGGATTCATATTTCTACTTCTCTCTCAGCTATTTCGGAACCTTAATAATATTTGAGTCTAACTGATCCAAGACTATCTTAAAATAAACAGTAATTCTAGCACGAATAATAATTGCTTCTTCATGAGCAACATCAAAAATGTAAGACAGCCTTTTTTTTTTTTTTACTTCTAACGCTTTTCATGAGACTGGCATATTCTAGAGGTTTGTGTTTACATCCGCTGAGAAATGCAGTCATTAGCTTTTATTAAAATTGCAACATGCTCTTCGAAATAAGAGCTCTTTGCACTATTTCATGCAGCCACAAGATGTCAGTACTCTTTACCGAAATTATATATTCCTTTCAAAAAACTAGAGCCGTGGAAAACTTCTGATCTCATGTGTGACAGGGTGACAGTCACTCCCTTCTATAATTATTGGGGCAGAATTTCAGTGGCGTAAAAATGTTTAGTCTAGCACAATTAACTTGTTACTTGGTTATTCAAGCAGTGGTGACGCTTTTTAAGGCAAAGATCAGACATTTGAATTAATTCTGTGAAATTGAAGAATACTTTGAACACAGACACCAACAAATCAACAACAGTAATACAAGCCATTACTCCCCCACAAGCTGTAATTCTCCCACTGGTTTTCCTCACGGTTGCTTTGAAGTGCAGACAGCTGGCCTTTAAGCACTATCTTTTACTGTGCAGACTCCAAAAATCTCAAAAACTCTTTTGAAATTTGAAATCGATGTAGAATACTGTTGCGAGATACATATCCAATGAATTGTTTAAGATCCAGATGTCAAAGAATTCAATATTAACTGATTTTTATGTGTAGATGTACTAGTAGGGTGGGTCAAATGTTACTTCCACTTACAATACATTGCAAAACCTCAGGGGGTCTATCTCTGTGCTATGAACGCTGAGAACCACTAAGGAGCTTGCTTTGACACATCTCTACTTTAAAGCTGAGAACTCATTAGCTCCACTTAGTTAAAAGCTCCATGCCCTTCACAGACCTTTTCCATTCCTTGAAGAAAGAACATCAAATTTTTAAAAGTGTATGTATAAAGAAATGCAAGATTTAAAAAAAAATAATCTAATCAGCCGTGCAATCATTCAGTAATATTTTCACCTAATGGGAGGGCAAAAGGAGGAGCAGAACAGAGACCAAAACTTGGTCCTTTCTCAGTTCTGCTGAACTGCATCAAGTAACCTCCAGTACTGCTCTATGGCACAGGCTCCCAATTTTAATATATATTATAATAACAACAGTTTTCACATATATTATATAATTTTAATATAGTAACTGTGCATTCATGTTAATATAACACTACTAATAACACATCAAGCATATTTTAATATATTGTTTAAATATGTAGTAATATACTACTATGTAATTTTAATCAACAATCAACAATCTAATTCACATATTACTGCTCTTTTAAAGAGAAAAATAAATTCAGTTTACTTGGGACCTTATTGTTAACTGTGATTACAAGTACATTAAAACCAGAAAGAATCAAAGATCACTCTGAGGCTGCAAGAACCTGACATCTGTCACGGATTCTTGTTACTCAAGTCTCTGACTTTTCATCACTTTCCTGCTTACCAAACCATTCAAAGGAACCTGACGCACGAAGGCCTAACTGCACAAACATTTGTCTTACCCATAGCAGTTAAGAACATCATCGTGAGCCTTCGCTCACGAGCTTAAAACCTTCTCTCCAAAAAACCCACTCGTGAGACACTGCTCTCTTGCTGAAGCACCACTATCGCCTGTGTAAAGGCAGTAAGGACTCTTGGCACAGGGTGGCAGACTCTCTTTTCCTAGGAAACATTGGCCCAACAGACACCTAAAGATGCTGCCAAAGTCCGGGAGAGAAACCATCCATCATCCGTCCCAGCCGCTGTGACCTGACCCTGTGAACCAAGGACCCCTCTGGTCCTGCAGGTCTATCGCCAGGGTCCGACATTTCTCCCTCTGTGCAGGCACCTCCTAAAACGGATTTTGCTTTGCAAGTTTAGGACAGAGATTAGGTCTCGTAAGCAGACATAAAAGAAGATTAAAAAACATTTTGCTGGAGAAATGTTCAAGATGTTTGTTCATAGGAATACTAAACTGCTTTTCGGAAGGAACAACAGCTGTGTGGTAGAGTGCAAGTACAGCAAAGGCAAATTTGGACAGAATAATAATCAAAGTTGTATTGGATAGAAAGAACATGCATTCCCAATAAATTGTATACATTTACTTAATCAGTTCCCGAGGCTTCACAACAGGCTTTTCAAGATTATTAGGCCACTTGTTGAACAGACTTTTTTCCTCAATGAAATCCCATTTAACATAATATGGTAAACCGCTAACCAAACAAAATTCAACAGTGAACACAGGGGTGAACGTAACCATGAGACCAAGTAATGAGCTTGAGACTGCTCCCCCATAACTGGTGCTAATGAGACAGACAGGATGAGGCAAAACTCTCCATATTCCTCTATGGTCTTTTTGTACTTCACTCACTGTGAACAAAGTCAAAGTACTAGCATGCCTAAAAAGCCTCAGCTGAAGATCTACCTATAGCATACCATAATCAGACACTGAAATCCTTAAGGCAAATTTTAAAACCTTACACTAAAAAGAGAGAACACAGGCTATAAAAAACCCAGTATAATAGAGATGAATTATACTGAAAAACAGCACTTTCCAGCTGTCGCTTCCAGTAGAGATGGTTTTGTACTTCATACAATAAGAAGAAAGAAATTACATTTCAGAAAAATGGTGAATTAGCAAGTACATTTATTACAGAAGCTAATTACCTGATTTAATTAAAACTGTTTAACTATCGCATGGTTAAGTGCGTTAATTTTTCCACCGCTGCTATTCACTCACAATTTAACTTTTGAAACAGAACAGAAAGCCATATGCAAGCCCATTCTGGAAAACAAGAGTGACTGTGCCATAAAAGCTTTTGCACAGTTTGGATGTTCATCACTGTGCAATTCAAATTCTAGTTTCAATTTTTTTAAAAAGTTAAAAAACTAATTTTCCCCTGGGGAACACCTGGTTTTCAGCCTGTTGAGAAAAAGATTTCAGAGAGGAAAACACACCAAATCAGGGAAACTAACTTCTTCTCTTCTCCCTATGACTAAAGCCATAGGGAAAAAAAGCAAACCAACCAATTCATTAACGTCTTCCCTGTAAGCAGTTATCACTGCTGCAAACTGGACCACTTGGACACAAGATCTTTAGGTTTTTTTTACCTACAGAGGTCCTAAGGCTAAGCCACAACATTACAAAGGTTGCAGCCTGTCCAGTTCCTGATGTAAATCACAAGTCTCCTTCAGATCCACCACACATATACAATAAATAACACACTTAAACCAATTTCAGCCTAGTGGTTTGAAAAAATAGAAGCTTCAAATACTATTAACTGGAA